GGAGGGCGAACTCTCTTTTCAAACCCCATCCAGAAGCATGAAAACCAGATGAGATGAGAAGTGGGACCTTCAAAGGGGCCCCAGACGGCATGCGACGCTGAAGGGATGGACGGGGCCATGATGCACGAGCACAGACAACAAGCCGCGCTGCCGCATCCAGGGTGGGAGACGTGGATCAGATCGCTGGGTGAATGACGGTATCTCAATCTCCTCACAATTTACGCGAGCTTCGACTGGTGTCCCTCGCGTGCGTATTGCATGGATACTAATGTCTATTCCAGGCTTGTCAGGCTTGTCAAGGTGCGTGCAAATCGATCCCGCCTTGATGCTGCACGCTCCAGCCGTAATGAACGGGCTGCGAGAGGCTGCAGGTCTAGCGTGCAGGCAGAGCTTTTGCGAGCTTTCGGAAGAGAAAGAAAATGGTCGTTGCTGAAGCCTTTCCGGAATGGGGGATTCTGCACCGAGGCTAGCGTCCAGGGGACCTGCAGCAATTCACGGAGGTTTAACTAAGGCCGGGCATGGTCTGACAGGAAACGGCCCAATGGCGCTGGAGGAATAAGCTAGTCTACACGGTAGCACAGTTGGTTGGCATTTCTACACGGGTGGTGGCTGATTTTTGACCCCCGTCTTCGCTTGTTCCATTTCGTGTTCCAGACGGACGCCGAGGCAGTGCGGCTTGCTGGAGCGGGATAAAGGAGGGGACCGGGCAACGGCAATCTTCACCGCGGCACCAGACGGCAGAGCGGGTGAAGATGGTGTGATGGAGCGTTCATCTCGCCTTTGGCTGCGACCCGAGGCACAAGTTGTTTGATATGGTGGCCGGTGTTCGAACTCTCTCGGCTTTGGCAAACCATAAAAACTAGACCCCATTGACAGAGGACTGACTTTTTGACGGCCTGATGATGCCCAAAGGAGATAGGCTCGAGAGAATTGAGGCGGTTTGGGATTATAGGCGAAAGAACGGCAGATGATTTATTCGAGCCACCATCACTCCAACTTGCATCTTCAAACACCACCCTTGCGGCATCCCCCTTCCATGGATATCTTCCGCTGCAGCTGGAGCGAAGGGCGCCTTGGCTTGGACTAGGTGCTTTGCTCCGAGTGATCTGATATGTTATGTCTTTAGGTTCAGCGGCATCAGGGGTTTCCAAGGATAGGCATTCCGGTTGATTCGGATTCCCAGTCCCCAGTGCCCATTGACTTTGGGTTTCCCCTGGCTACAACGAGAGATGCTCGGTCTCGTTCGTGACCATAAAGCACCGATCGCAACGTCACTCAGGATATCCACCGTTGTAGTGTAAGAAAAGAAGTGGCTTTTGCTCTAAACTAGTGCGAATGGACACCTCAATCTTGCGGGAGAACGAACCCCGATCGCGATTCGATATTGGTAGCTAGGGTGGCATGTCACTGCGGACCAGACAAGTCCTTTTGTTGTCGCTTGTTAGTACAAACGGTAAGAAATGGTACTGGTTGATGAGCGGTTGCGCCACTAAAAAGGCGAGGAATCAGGCTGAACAGAATTTGAGACGTCAATGGCGGCGAGTCGGCTAAGGTGTTGGTGAGCAACCAATCTTGGTTCCACATCGAGCAAGGACAGGCACTCTTCGCCCAGCCCCTCTTTTTGAAGCTCTCCCTGCATACTTACGCGCAGCAGGCCCCTGATCCTTGAAGCTTCTTCTCAGGAGGCCAAAGCGTTTCATGTCGAAGGCGACGATGAGGAGTATGCTGACGATGCGACGGCATTGCATTGTACGAGCCTTTGTCCGTTCGATCGAAATCACAGCCGCGTACGAAGGGACGTACGAGGAGACGTGGAAATGCCTGGGCCATCTGCAGACCTTGAATCATGTCGCTTCTGAGTTCCCATCGACAATCTGGTCCGTGTTGCTGGACGGATAGCCTGCAGCGGACCAGCGATCCCCAAGAAATCGCATGATCTGCGCAAGTCTTCGACTCCCCCTGGTCTTTAGTAGAAATTCTCCCTCTACCCGTGCGTCCCAACATTAAATTTTGACTCCTCACGAGTCCAGTGGACTACAATTGTCTGGTGCTCCAAGCGCAGCGAAAAGCATACCCGGCCTGCGATCCTCCTCATTACTGGACTCGCTGCAGCTCGGTTCAGGGACCGTCGATAGCTCAGACCCTGGCCAGGCGTAGACGATACGCTCGGTGACATTCGCGTTAGCCAGTCAGAACAGGCCATCAGCTAGTTACTTTATCTTGAACGACCCAATCCTACTGACACGACGTCCAGCGACTTGGATGCCCTCCTTCACTCGCAGCTGGAGTTTCAACATCAGGAGGAGTAAAGATCATGATCTAGCTAGTTCCGCTAACTAAGACTTCGCGGTAGATGGCGCAACCCAGCAAAGCTTCGCTGACTATCCTTGGCGGGCCCTGCCATGCCTGCGAAGAACATTGAAACGATCGTGAGCGCGAGTCATGAAAGACACCTGTCACAGCCCTACAGACCCGCATTGAGTCAAACACCAAGACTAAATTATTTCTGCAGGTAATTATCATTTGGTGCAGATAAGCACCCAAAACATCAGACGTGGACCCTCATCACGACGGCGACGCCAAGGTTTCTGCCCGTTGGAGGCGAAATTTCGAAGCTGTGGCATGGTGCACTTACTCTCTTTCAACAGCCATCGTGACTCCATTCAACGTTGGCGTTGACGCATTGGGACCTTCCGCTGACTAGCTTCGGAGGGAGTTTCCCAACGATCAATAGTTTTTTGCCAGTCTGTGGATAATGGAACGAACCAGCGATAGGGCCCTCATTGCCCGCAAGCCTCGGGAGCACGATTTCTTGAACTTCCATCCCCGAAGCCCCATCGCACGACTGTTTCTTTATCTTCCTCGCACCTAGACTGGTCGTGTGGTCATCTTCTCCGTTTATAGCTGCTTCCGAGAGGAAATGATCGTCATCTCCATTGCCACAACTGCAATGTGTTAGCATTGACCCATTTGCATGCGCAACGGCGGATTGAGAGTCCTGAATCAGCGAGCACTGAGTTTGATGGTCTACTCTGTCACTGACCGCTGAGGTCCATGTGATCATCAAACCTGTTCCAAGCACGGGTGATTGTACACACGGCCACTCGAGTGGGAAATAAGGTATTCAAAGGGCTTTGACCAAACCTTGAATGGTAGGTAAGTGGCCACTTATCTGTCGCAGCTTCTACCGAGCTGCTTTCAATCGTGATTAGAATCCCTTACGACTAGGTTATGCCGAGCTTAATAAGCAAAGCCCAGCCTTCGGCAGGGCCGTTTTATAAAGCGAGGATCTTCATAATGCTATGTAGAAATGGCACTGTGGGTAGTTGTGAAACCTTGATTAAGCAGAAAGTTGTAACCAGTGGGCTAGAATTTCTGGGTGTCCTCTACTGCAGATACAGGCACGCAGAAGCGCCCAGCATCCTGCAGATGATTACATACTTACATGTTAGCTCCTTTAAAGAGCACTGGGGCATTGTTTCTATGTCAATTGCTAGCTGGCGGCAATATATCCTTCTCCAGTCTGTCTCCAATCGGCTTCACTGCGAAGCTATTCGGGCGATTGAGAGGGGAAAGATTTGGATTAATATTTGATTTGTTCTTGATTCTTGATTCTTCCAAGGATAATTATGTATGTGTTGACGCCCTTTGGCACTTGATGGAATATTCTGTTGTGTGGCATACCTTTAAACTACCTAAACGCACCTGTTATACGATAAGCAGCCCGTGGCAAAACACCACCTACTCCGAGGAGGCTTGTGCTCCACAGCTTTCATTAGCCTTGAAACCTTAACTCTCCTTTGGCAAAAGTAAGTCCAGATCCAGAATGTCGAATGGTCAGTGGTAGCTTGTGGAACCCGAAGATATCCGGAGCTTTCGTCACTTACCTACCAATCAGCTATCCACCAAGGATGTCAGGGTTGCTATTCGAAGGTAAAGACCCTAAGACCAATCCTCTTGTTCCATATTCATGAACAATCAGTTCCTTGAACTAATTTGTTTGAATGAAGGTACTTTGTCCTTTCAGCAACTGATTTAAGATTTAAGTTCGATGAGTCATTTTCATGTGGGTCATGCACAATCTGCCGCCAAAATATGTTAGTCTAAGATAGCCTTGGGTGAAAAACAGTCCTGTTGTCTTCAGCACATTCGATGATACCATGTCATTGTCGGGATCAAGTTCTGTTCACTTGCTAGAACGCAATGGCAAAGTGCTTAACATGTCGGAGACGAAAGGTGCGCTGTGACGCAGGTCTCCCTACGTGCTCAGCGTGCACTCGTCTAGGCTTGGTATGCCAGAGGGTGAGACCTGAAAGGATGCTGACTTGGTCAGACCCTCATCAGCCCAGTGTGGGAAGTGATATCTCACCTTGGAACATAAGCTCGCTGCAGGAAAACATTTCACATCGAAACAGACAAAATTATTTCACAGGTTCGTAAACATACCTGACTCATGATCTACATGAGGTGAAATCGGACATTTGGATCTTCACTCGTACAAACTCTACATAGTGCCGATGCGACTATTCACCATCAAGTCATCTCTATCAGCATATATCATTATAGTCACCACGTGAGCGATTAGCTAACGTGATTAGTTGAGGAACTAATTGCCACATCCGAGCTTATTCAAAACACAAGAGATGGTATCGAAGTCGATATGATTTGCCATCAACTCGAAGTAATATCCAATGAAGAAAGCCCCATAACGTCTTCTATTGGACTCTTCTCTGTTATTGTTCCTAGAAATTCTCAGTCCAACAATTGGGTTCATATGCCCAAGGACTTCGACTCCAGCCTGAACTCAGACGCCAGCCTTCTCGATCATGGTGCGTATTGTTGTAAAGGATAGTCATTGAGAGTCATGAAATATCTCTTGTTGGTGGTTTCCTTGATAATCACCAGCTTACCGAGTCACAGTGGAAGAAGTTAAAGTCAGTGGCCAGACTACACTACAGCCAGATACAATGGAGCATGTGAACGAGTCACTTGTCTTGGGATCCGAAGCCAATGATCCTCTCCAGGAGTTGATTCCTGGCTCAGGAGTACATTCACCTGAAATCGCTACAATAGTCAACGCCGCGGTCTTCCCTTTGGTACACGATTTCGACTTCATTCCGACAGGTCCGAGTACTTTTACTAGCTCCCTACCGGAAACGACATTCTTCTTACTTGATCACTACAGATCAAATATGCTGGATTCTTTCACTCCAAAGTGCAACCGCTATCCACCCTGGAAAGTTCTGCACCTGCCCAGCGCCTTGCAGGCTGTATCAGAGATTAGCATCTGGGGCAGTACAGACCCCGTAAAAACATCTTTGCTGTATGGTATCTTATCGGTCTGTGCATATAACCTCGAGGCATCTTCTGAGACCAACAAGGAGGTTGCCGGTTTCTGGGGTCTTGTAGCCGCAGAGTTTTCTCAAACTGCCAAGGAGAAATTATCGCTCGGTAGTCTGTCTTGTGCAGAAGACTTGTGGCCGAGCCAAGTGAACGAGCTTATGATGGCGACGATGAGCATGAACACAATATCAGTGTGTTTCGAATTTCTACCGTTCCTAGCGCTGGAACTAACGTAATCAAGGTCATGAGCGGCAAGTTCAACGAAGCGAGAGCATTCCTTCTCGCAGCTGAGCGCCTTTCGGAAGAGCCAAGTGCGATCGGACCCCTTCAAAGCCGAGAGGCAACAATGCTCCGCAGCATGCTTCGATATCGACACATATCTACCCAGAGATGAAGAGGCCTGACGTTTGCACCAGTCCTGGCTCACGCCTACCAGCTTCCCGTGTCGGCGACATTCCAAATGCACAATTTAATGCCAAGTTTCCATCTTTAAGAACTAGGGTATTCATGGAGAATCACGACTCCAGACTTGTGGACTCAAACGCACTCAATGCCCCACACACCAAGGAGACTCAACAACAGATCCAATGTACGGCCTCGACGTTCGAGACTATTTTCGGACTCCCTGAGTCGCTTGTCAGTCTCATATCACGTACAACCCATCTGATAAACATACTTGGCGATGCTTTGACCGAACTTGAGACTCCTGGAATCGTCGACATCATTCGAACACTGGAGCATGACCTTTGCATATGGACTTTCGAAGGTCACGCCACAAATGCCCCACATCCGAGGCAAGATGTGGGAAATCAGCGAGAAGCTGCCTTCGATAATGCGAGAGAAGCAGTCCATGCAGCAGTGGAAATATACTTCTATCGAGAAATCCGCCATGTCAACCCAACTTCAGTTCAGCATCTTGTCGAGAAGGCGTTGAGACATCTTCTCGATTACGAGAAAGGCGTTGAAGAGCGCGGGAACTTGGCTGCAGCGGGGGTGTGCTGGGCTGCCTTTATCGCTGGATGTGAAGCTGAAGGAATCTCTTCGAGACAACAAATAGCTCAATTTCTCTCACGAATTGCCCAAAAGAGCGGCACTGGTAACTTTAGAGCTGCATCGGAGTTTCTTCCTTGCGTGTGGGAATCAAGGATGGGGTTAGACAAGTTCGATCAAAGCTGGAGAGAAGTGATGAGATCATCAAACACCTGTCTCATTTTGTCATAGTACCTAATCTCAAAACCTGGCCTCTTCGTCTCTGTGTACTCAAACCTCCTTCTTAAGATTCGATCTAGTCGCTTACTCTCTGTAGCTTCCTAATCCAAGCTTGAGGCCTCGCAACAATATCTCGTGCTGGACCTCGGGCTGAAACTCGCAGTACAGCGAATCCTAGTGCAAAATAGTTAACAGATAAACGTTTGGTTTTTCAGGAGGGTATTTTCACTCACCGAATCACTACTTGTCTCGAAGGTGTGCTTAGCTGTAGCATCATCGATGCATTTCTTTTCGAGGCCGTCCTTTGCAGCTGCTTCAACTAGTAGCTGTATTTCACAACAGCGCTCCATCAGTGTGAAGAGATAGGCGGCCTCGTCAACACTCTGGCCGACGGTGAGCAAGCCGTGGTTTTGCATGATCAACCCTCTTCCATTTAGACCCAAAGCCGATGCCACAGGGTCACTCAAGCTTTCTTCAAAGACCAGACCACCATAGCTGGTGAGCACAGCTTGAGCATCTCCATAAAACATGGCGGTGTCTCCATTCAACATCTCAAAGGGGCGCCCAAATGCTGACCAAGCTTTTCCGAATCTGGAGTGACAGTGGCACGCGGCAACAACATCAGGCCTTGCCCTGTGGATCGCAGAGTGAATGAGAAATCCTGCCGCGTTTACTGGACGCGATGTGTTTCCTCCAATGACTTCTCCCTTTTCGTTCACCAAGGCCATGTCGTCAGGGGTTCGCAACGCAAAGTGAACGCCGAGGCTGTAAAGATAGATCAGCCTTGCAATTATATCTTGAGAATTCAATGGAAGAGTCTTCTTACGGATTAAGCCAGAATCTGTCGGGGAACTCTGGATCCCGAAGGGAAATATGCCCGGCCATGCCCTCGCTGTAGCCTCTACGCGCAAAAACATTGGAAGGCATGTGCCATGTGATCCAGCATGAAGGCGCGCTTGTCGGCAACGTTGGAAAATGTGGGCATTGCTTGCATAGTGCTGCCCTGGACGATAGCATCGAGCGGTGTTTTCTTTCGGCCGCCCAAGGAAGACATTGTGGTGTCGTCAAGCTGAGCCTTCGTGTCTGTGCTTGGTATGGAAGCCGAAAGTCAGGTAAGATCAACGTGGCTCATCTGAAATGAAAGAGCCATGAAGTTGCGGTTTCCGTTAGCAATTTCCAGTCCTCCTGGAAGATCAGAGGCTCATTTTTATAACATTGCGAGACTCAGCTTCGACCGAGTGGGTCATCGAATACTTGAGTCGTCGGCCGAGCTCCCCCAAACCAGAAGAACAAGTGGGGAGAAGGGGACCCATCCATCCATTTACTTACATTGAAAGGTTCGACGGACCCGAGCCCCGGCCCCAACGCCTATTGACCTAACTAAGCACTACGAGTCCATGTGAATTGGGTCTAGAGGCTTTGATTATTGATGACTTGCCAGGTTCACTTTGCTACTGTTTTCAGTCATCTCGGCCGACCTTTCCAAAGCTTTACAAAGAAAAGTGGGCCAATCACCTCTAGAACGAGGTATACCGAACAGCATGCCTAAGAAGAAAGTTCTCGATAGTTGTTTAGTAGTTGACGAAAGTTTCCCTGGCACTCAATTGAGGCCCTTTTTCTCTATCACAGTAGTCTTCGATGTAGACATCCCCTATTTTAGGCTCATGGAAGAAAAGGAATTGTGCGTTTGCGTATCTCTGTTCTCCGCAACGATGGGTATCTACGATGACTCTGGCCTCTTCTTAATATTAAGCCTTTTCAAACTCCTCAATCCATTCCTGAGGCTCAATTCCGAGGCCTCAGGTAGCCTGACAAGCTTCAACTGGGATTCCCAAAAGTCGGGTCAATCCGAAAAGTCTGCCCATGCTCTCCTTGGCTCCAACCCTCAGCTCCTTTTTCACGGCACTTCTCAAGGACCCCTTCCAACCAAGTAAGGCCTCGGCCGTTGGCGCCCAGCCGCGAGAAAACCCAACTTGTGTAGGCTGCATCGTCATCCACGGCGTTTTATCACCAACCAATTGGGGTGGGTAAACAGCCGAGAGCTGCCAAATCTGCGCCGCCGAGACCGGCGTCAGGGAGCGGGCGACTACCCAGTAGAATCTGCTCAGTGTATCAACACCGCCGATCAAGGCTTCGTCAAACGCGTCGGGGTTCCCGCTCGAGGCGCGAAGGAATTGGAAGTACGCCTTCGTCAGGCGCAGCGCATCGTTGGCGCGACAGTCGCGAAGCTGAGGCGTGTCCGCAACCCACAGCGGCGTATAGTGATATGGGTGATCGGGCTCGCGCGCGTTGCCAAGGTCGCCGATTTTCCACTTTCTAGGATCATGCTCGGATGCCACGAAGATGTTTTCTAGCTTGACGTCGTCGTGACACAGGTCGTGCGCCATGTGCAAGCTATCGAGTGCTGAGAGGAGCGACTCGAAAGATGGCCTGAACATTTGATCGAGCTCACGATATGAGTGCCGGTTGCTAGATTTACGCAGCTTCTTCGCCAAGTGTTTAAGGGTGCCTGACTTGAGGAACGGAGAGACGAAGTGCCATCTCGGTGTCCCCAACGGTTCCGTAGCAGCCAAAAAGTAGTCTTTGACAGGGACGAAGTGCTCTCTGTATCGCTCATCGTCCAGTAATTTCGAGCCGTCATTGCGTCCGCCCATGATCAGACTCGCAGGTATCTCTGTGGGCCATCTTCTCGCAGACGCATCTGTGCCTTGAATGCAATTCCGAAAAGGACTGGTTTCCTCGTTGTAGACTTTGATGACAGTATTGTTGAATGTGAATGTTTCACCCTCCCTGCCTTTTCCAAGCTTCTTCCAATGGCGCCGGTTGTCGAGTAAGATGCCACGTCCAGAACTTGCGGTATCGGAATCGACTTCCCATCTGGTGCTTGAAAGGATGGCCTCGTCATAATCCGAAAGGGAGTCGAACTGCGTCGGGAGATATTTGACTCTCATATCCTCTCGATAGCGGAAATGAAGGTCCAATAAATGATACATGACAACGACGGAAGCAATTGCCAGAAGCCGAAGTGTCATCCGTGCGGTGAACGACTTCAGCCCCCTCCGGCGAGCCCCGATAGGGCTCCAACTACGACCTTTCATCGACAAACGTCAATATGCTATGGTGATTGAGTGTGGGAAGATTCGTGGGAAGTTTCGTGGATGGAAAACCAACGGCAGCCCCTTCTGTCTAATAAAGACGGCCGCCAAGCGGCCAAGTGCCGTCGGAAGCCAGTAGCACATCCATGTCATTTGCGTGAACCGACTTACAATAATACAGGGAGGGGGAAGGAAGCGAATAAGCTACGCGACTACGACTGTTCCCCGTCGTCATCCCGCCAAGGGGCTGCCACGTCGTCTAGCCATCCCCGTCTTGGGAAGCCTCCCACCCCAAAGCTAGATTTATGACAGCCCAGATCTTACTCATCTCGACCGCTGAAACAGGTGAGCTTTTCAAGGTGATTGCATCGACAACCTTTCTCTGCTCTGGTAAGCCCCACAAACAAGGCGGAACCCGGGCCAGCTCAAGTCATGGCAAACATGCGCCCCAAGCTTGGCGATGCCTATTTTGTCTCCTTGCCGACGGCCATTGTAGCGGCCTTCCGTCGAGAAATGGACCTCCGAAATGAGTACGGTCTCCTGAGTCCATGCGTTGTCGATCTAGGGTGTCGGCCAAGGATATCTTGGAAGCCAATCAAATCCCCAAGAGCGGTTCCGGAAACCTGCCCATGTGCTGCATTTGGAGTTGATATTTCGCAAGCGAACACGGCACATGAGCACACAAGTTTTCGGCACCTGGTCCTAGCTGGGGGTTTGAAGCACGGTAGACCTCGGGATGACCTCAGTCTTTCCTCATCTAGTCAAAGATGGTGGGGTACCTTGGGTGCGGTAGTACAGGTGGGAAGGCGAAGTCAGATTAAGGTCGATCTGAGGTGCGAGACAGAGGGGGATCTCCCACCTCCCCCAACGAAGTCAACCTGCCTGCGGCGGGAGCTGGTGTCATGGATTCCCTGGCCATCTCTCAGCCCGCCAGGTCAATTATGGACATGTCATCTTACGCTTCATGTGTAGACTACCTAGGTAACCTCCCCGAACGCCACGCCGTTATTTCCACGACAACGGCCTCTGCCGAGTATCTGCCGATTTCTCAATGGGTCTTATTGCTTGGTTCGGATTCAGTCTCAGGTTTCTTCTCATGCTCCTTGGCTATTTGTTGGAATCATTAACTATTTGGCTTCTTTCCCTCTTTGCTCTCGAAAATGCCTCTTTGTCTTTAACCGAAGCTATTGAACAGGCACTAGACTCCCCAACGTGGTGGGCCGCATGAACTTTGGAACACTGTCGTCGTCCGATGAGCGGTTGAATCGATGGACCGCCTTGCCGTCCAACATTTAGCTAGAAGTGCCGCTTTGACACTTGTGATTTGGCGCGGCTTCTGCGACCAATATACCCATCTCACTGTTCACGCAACTTGAGTCTGGCCAGCTTCTCAATTGGTTTACTAGAAGGCAGGTCCAAGTGATGTAATAGACTTTCCCCTAATGGCGGACAACACAGCGATCCGAAAGGTTGGGGTCTTAAAGCTGGAAAGGCAAAATCCGTCTCGCCCGTTTTGACCCACAGACTGCCGCACAGCGCATGCCAAGAAACTCAATGGGGGCTCTGCAGCAGAACAGAATTGCGAGGCTGTTTGAGCTCTTATATGCAAAGCGTCCCGAGCTCGACAGTTGGGTCACGAACCACCAAGACGCGGGGATATGGAGCCACGTAGAGTCTAGTATTAAGCTAAGCTTTCCTCTTCGAGAAGGGTTTAGAATTATTAAACTCGTGCCCTGACTGTGTATTGACTGTCGAAGGTGGGTGTGGTCAATACCTGAGGATAGAGTCTGAGAAGCCTCTTTAATGTACGCGCTCTGCATGTCGCAGACTTCGTCAGAGTGACAAAGGTTCAGCAAGTTCCATTTGGCGCACCAATTCTACAGTTGCACTCAAGATAGTCTCCCTTCTTTGTGCCTGCTTTTATACGTACTACGGGATTCATGTAAGTGAACTCGCCAGGAGCGTCACAGACTTGGCCCATGCTGCACCCACCACTTCTTGATTCTATCCTCCACGCTCCTGAAATAACATGTTCCTTGACAATCCTCGTGCGGGCAGCCATTTGGAGGCCAGTGTTTGTCCTCGAATGCTTGCCTTTCGGAAACAGAAGAATTTACACGTAGAGCTTCACCGCCCATGCCCACTGAGCAAACCTCCTGCTTCGTCAAATAAGCCCATTCCGTCTGCAATGCTTTCAACCCCGCCACGACACTTTGGCGCTCCTCGTAGATATACTGGACCATATTTCGCGGCAGGACGTGAACAAGCTTTGTCTCTGGTATCTTCCAACACCCCGTATCAATGCCATCGTCCATCATTTGCACCTCTTCGCGGTGATGCTCCTTGGCAAGAATCCCAGCCATCTGACGCTCGAGAAATACCTGTCGAAGCCGTCGCAGATACCCACTATAAGATGCCGCCTCCGACTCGGTCCCGGCCCCAGCCCCGGATTCTCGGCGGTCCTCCATAAATCTCACAAAATGCAACGCCCCAAACCCTGACCGAAGAAACTGACCCCCAAGCGCGCCGTCACACAAGCAACTCGGCCCAGTCATATCAACAAGCTCAACATTCACCGCCACAAAATCACCACTTCTCCTGGCCACATCAACAGCACTCCCCTCCACCATCGGCGGAACCTCCCAACTCCGCCGCAGTGGCGTCAAGCAGGGTTCAAACACGCCCCAATGCTCCACATCACGCCGCGTCCACTCCACAAACCAAAGTTCCTCCACAGACCCCAACAGCCTCAGCAGTAAAGAGACGGCCACCGACGCGGTCGCTGGTACGCTCTGCCATGGCGCCGCTCTATCCGCGCCATACAGCACAGCCGCCGAACCCTCCAGCGCCAGCCTGTGCACCTGTCGCAGATCCGCCGCCGTGAACTGGCCCACGTCCCACGGGCCCCCGCTCAGCAACTCGGGACGGTCCTCTTCCTCGTAGGCGGCTTGCGGGAGGAAGAGAGTATCCCTATCAAAGTGGAACCACGTTCGTGGTTCGGCTGTCCGCGTCGCAAAGGCCAGGCGGTAGCCATCCCGTATAAGCACGCCGCGAGACTCGGCGCATGTGTGTAGCAACGGTGGTATCGGGGCCTTGCTGTATAAGTAGCCCTCCCTTATGAGCTCCCACGCGACCTTTGGTTCGTTGGCCAACCATGCAAGGGGTATTTCTGGACACTGAGCGGACGGAATCCAGGGTTGCGGGATGGGTTTGCTGCCAGTGAAGCCGTGCTCCTCTAAGGTCGTCTGGCGGTGGCTACGTCCATCTCGTATGCGCCTTTGGATTTCAGCAGCCCAATTGACGCTGAAGAACTCGATATCAGAGTGGACCTGGAGCTGCACCGGATGTGTATTCACAATCTCTCTGAACTCGTCAAAGCCGATATCTGTCTTTTCCTCAACATTCACGATGCGTGGCAGGGTCGCAAGCCAGTAGATCTCTCGCCGAATCTCGAATGGAAGAGACAAGAAGCAGGGAAATGTGCTCAGAGCCATGATGCCCTGGACCATGAGAACTGGCGTTTTGTTAGGCGTGTACCCAAAGCAAGCGGTCAAACAAGCACAGAAAGATAGGCTTGCCAATGTATGGAGCGGGGGTAGGCCATTTTAGGCAGCACTGCAGAAGTCGCAGGGATGTATACCACCTTGCCTCACTTAAGTAAGGTAGCGCATTGTTCGTAGTGACACAGATGGATTGGCAATTACTCTTTACTTCACTTTTTCACGATGAACTTCCACTTAAAGGCGGCGATTTTGCAGAAGTCTCAGCTCTCAATCCACCAAATGCCATGTGCCATCCTGAATGGCGGGAACACATGCCTCAATCGGGGGAGGTTATCAATATAAGGGCAAGTGTAAGTTTCCGATGCCAAGATTATGCCCTGTGTAAGTCGCTCTATTTTGACGTTTGGCATGCTTCCGGTGGGACAGTTCTGACTGCGCGTTGTCAAGGCTTTTCATGACTTCCTTGCTAGTCGGCCAGGTCTTTGGTCTCGAGCAACTACTATAGAAGGCGCCGATGCAGGTAGTCAATTGCGTAAACAATACAACGGTAAGTTCAAATCACGGCAGCATTCACTCAATACATCCTGTGAAAAAGTTAGAACTTATACTCTCAAAGTGAGTGATAGCGAAGACAATGTCCCCAGGATCAAAGACCTCGGAAACTGGTTGCCGATGCATGCAGCTCTGCAGCAATATTTCCCGCGAGTTACCAGCCCACGATAAATCCAGAGTCATGTCGGAAATAATTCCACACGACCCAGTAGACAAGATAATTCTGGAACCCCAGAATCCAGGGAAATAAGCAATCCACCGAAAAGCACTGCTGAGTCGGTAACTAGCTCCAATAACAACCCAGTTCCACCAATCTGGTACAGTAGGGACCCATTAGTTTTAATACACCTACCATTTCTCTAACCACTAGCATTTTTACTATACCACTCCTACTAATAACTATTTTATTAATTTTTAGATTTATATAGTAAATATTTGTTTTAAAGTTCTGTCTTTACTAGCTACTCGGGCGATTCTCGATATTATTTATATAGTATTCATATATAGTATCAATAAATACTCTCACTATTTTAATAGGCTAATTTTTTAATTTTTTTTTATCTTTTTAACTATCTTTCCTATAAAGTTCATAACTACGGATTAATTATATAGTAAAAATATAATCAAAAAAAGTCTAAAACTGACTTTTTAATACTATATATACTATTTTTATATTTTAATTATTATAAAAAGATTATATAATAAAAACTTTATAATAGTCTAAATCTTTTTTTTAAAAAAATAGCTTTTTATACTACAGTTAATTACTATTTAGATTCTTATATATTTAACTTATTTGTTTTTAAATTAAACTACTTTTGAATATAAATAATATAAATTACTCTTTATAAGCTTTTCATAGTAAGTAGTTAGGTATAAAGCGTAATATACTTAGTTTTTGTTATAAAAGTAAATTTGTTTACCTTATTGTTTACCTTATTCTACATATTACGTAAGCATATTATATATTATATCAATTTATAATTTTTATAAATTATTATTTATATCAATTATATAAACAATTCTGCTTATATAAGCTTATATAAACAATAAAAAGTACTAAAAAATAATATAATAAGCTAGATTACTCACGAAGAGATATTCCGCACTAAAATTACGCGATTACTTACGTATACATTTATTAATTATATCAGAATTAATAAGTAGTTAAGTATTCTAATAAATGGTTTTTATGTTTAAAAATAGGTAGTTTTTCTACTTACTTAGACCTTTCGTTAAGTAAGTAACTTCTTATATAATAATTTAACTATATTATTCTCTTTACTTATATATTTTCTTTATATATATAACTATTTCTTCCTTTTTAAATTCTTACTTCCTTAAAAATATACTTTTATTAATATTCTTTTATAAGAATATATTTACTTACTACGTTAAACTATATATACTAAACTTTTCTTTTAATATATATAGTAGTTTTTTTCCGGCTTTATAAGTATAAAAGATCGACTTTAACGGGATTAAGCTTTTAAAAGAAATTATATAATATAGTATACTTTTTAATAATATAATACGTATAATATACCCTAAATACGTATTTAACTTAATATAATAATTTCGATACGAAAACCGTTATATAATTCGGGATAAATAAGCTACTCTTTATATAATAATAATAGCTAAAAAGGTTAATTATAAAGGTTAGCTATAAAGGTTAGAGGCAGCCTAAGAAGTTACTTACCTTTATATTACGGCTAGCTAGTCGTAGTAAATATATTAATAAAAGTTAAGGCTACGAAAGCTAAATAAACAGTATTATAGTTATAAATAACTTTTTTAAAGCTATATCTATAAATCGTAAAGTAAATAAAGCTTTAGTAATTAATTATAGTTTTATTAAAAAGGGTTTTTAATAAAAATAATTAAAAACGATCGTAAGATCTAATACTAAATTAATTATTAAAAAAGTTATAAAAAGTCTATTTTTAAGCCCGGCTTAAATCTATATTATATATAAATCTTATTTTTAAATATATTTTTTATTTTTTAAGTTATTCCCGATTAATCTAATCTATAATAATCGTTTAGCCCCTAAGTTATATTAAATTATTTTAATTTAGAATAATCTTTATTTTATTTTATTATTACATAACTTATTTATAGTTCTTTCGTTTTATAAAGAGTAGTCGTATCCCTATTTTATTTATATATATAATACGCCTAGTTACTATAGCCGGTAAGCTAGTTTTTAGGTTAGTTATATATATTAAATTATAATATTAGCTTCTTTTTTTAAAAATCTAGTTCTATAGACCTATAAATAAATAGTCGTAACCTAGGTTAGGGTCCGTTAAATTTTATTTTTATAATATCCTAATACTATATTAAGTCGTATTTAAAAATTTAATTTTCGTAAAACTTATTATAATAAAATTAAATATAATCGTTAAGCTTTTAATATTTTTATAGAGTATAAAGGTTATAACGTAATACTATATTCTTTTTATTTTTAATATAATTGCGTATATAAAATAGATTTATTTAATTTAAAACGTTATAGTAAGTGCGTTACTTATAGTTTAACGAATTATAATAGTAATAATATAGCGAACGTTTATAAGTTTTTATTTTATTTATTATTTATAATACTAATTTATTATAGTAAATCGTTATTTTAAAAAATAAAAAAAGGTAGAATATAAAAAGTAAAAGGCTAAAAAAGCTTTAGAGGTATTATAGACTTAGTTAGTAATTATTTTAGGTCGTTTATCTTATTTAAAGAAATAGAAAAGGTTTTTAAAAAAGCGTAGTTCGGATTTTATTTATTATAGAATATAGTTTATTAAAGAATAGGAGGCCGAAAAAAGGTTTTTAAAAGCGTAAGAAATACGTATTATAAAAGATTTAGCTACTTAGGGTGCTCTAAATAAAACTAATTAATCTTTTTTTAATATTAGTTTTATAGATTTAGAGCTTTTAGCTATAAACGAGCCTTTTAAGGCCTAGTCGTTTTTTTATAATTACTAAAGAACTATTAAGCGTTCTAAAAGTTATTATATAGTTCTTATATATTTTCTTCGTATCCATAATTTTTTTATTTAA